TTTTTAGTATTTTATTAATATTAAAATAATAATGCAAAAAGTCAATGCGACAATTAAAATTAGACAAAGCTAACGGTAGTTAAACACATAAAATATTAATCCCTCTCGTCCAAATTAGTTGTCTCACTTTGACTTTTTTATTAAAATTTGAAGTAATACTCTTATATATCACGTGAATAACAATTGAGAAATCTTTTAATGAAGTGAAATTATTCAACAAGAGCTATGTAAAGATTAAAAGTTTTTTCCAATTGGGATTCATGGGATTCATATGCCATATGGGAGTAATAGCTAAAATGTAGTCAAAGAGTCAAAGTGGAACAACAAATTTGGACCGGAGGAGGGAGTAGCAGTCAAGTGCCCCAACCCGATATGATGCAAGTAACTAAAGACATTAAAGAATGCTAGTAAAACGCTCTAGTGAATCAGAAATGGGTGATATAAAGCATTGTGTAGCTGAGATCAGTAAACATTATTCTTATTACTGGTTATATTGACAACTATAGTCTCATATACTGGGTTGACTATTGAACATTTGGCCAGACTCACAAGAACGTAAGGGATAATTAGCAGCTTCAAAAACAAAGCATTACATGACCATAGAAATACTCTAATTACTTTATGGTTACCCTGTACCTTCTCTCTTGTTATAGGACAAGTGACTGCACTCAATAATACAAATGGATATGATGTCTGATAAAAGTAAAGCTTATATGATTACAGAGTACCTGAAAGGATATTGGATGCTAAAGTTTAGATAATAACAAAGTACCTGAAGAAGAGTTACTGCTATCTTGTACTGAGCACAAATGGTTGCTTGAGCTTTAATATCAGCTCCTCGAGAGTGATCCTTAGCTAGTGCCAGAAAAGCTTCATCAAAACAGGATAACGCATCGGGAAGTTGATTCTGCTCAAGGTGAGCCAGACCAATCTTGAAACATAAAGAAGCAGGGGCCCCACGTGGAACCTATTAAGAAGAAAGACATGATTGAATCAAAAAAATTGGATAAGTTGGAATAATGAGTGCAGCTGCAGAACATAAAAAATGCAGAGAGCTGAAACTACACCAAGAAGAACAATGATTGGTACAAGGTCAATTACATTGGAGTTAAGTGCAAAATTCCTACATTAGTCAATTAATGGGAAACCTGAGGACTTGAATATTTTATAGGCTACTCCACCTATGGTAAATTAGTTTTAGGTTGGACTAATATCTGCTTTAAATATATTTACTCCAATCATCTGTAAGTTAGAGAGAAATTGGAACACTAACGTCTTCTTCCTTCCTTTATTATCCCTTTCACTTGCAAATAATGTTTTTAACTCATGCTAAATGGGAAAAAAAATATGCCTTATCAGATGAAGGATAAAGGTATCTATCATGAGAAACCAAACTCCTAGAAGTGACTAAAGAAAATCTACCCTACCCATGCATAAAACAACAAAATGCCACCAGAAACGTTTGATATATGTATTATATTGTTTTAAAACAGAAGTATCCTCCAAAGCCAAGTAGACTCGTTTACATAGAATCCAACCTTTGTTAAGTCAAAGATAAAGAAAAACAAGTATATGTATGAAAGCCTTTCTTTTCCTTTTTCATTTTTCTAAATAAAATCAATGTATCAACCCCAAGAGCAACTTCAGGTGATAACAAAAATTCAAATGCAGAAATCAACCAAAGAGCAAAAATCAGGTGGTCAAAAAAACAAATCAAGAACCATGCACAAGAACACACTTACCTGTCCTGGGCGTACAGAGGTGGGTGGAGAAGCAGGATTAGGAGTAGGTTTTCCTGTATCTGGAGGAATTGGGACTCCCAGTGCACTAAGATCAAGAGGTTCTGTTGATAGGGGCATCTGTGCAGGTTGAACCTGAGGCTGGGGCATTACAGGAGCCTGACCCGAGGATTGTGGTGGAACACCACCATCAGCAAGCCCAATCGAATCAAAAGGAATTTGCTGCTCACTAGCTTGAGGCGGAACCCCACCATTCTGAAAACCAACAACAGCTGTAGGTGCATTTACTTGGTTAGGCATCACCTTTTCACCACCTTCAAACCCTTGAGAGGTTTGATCCATCTTTGAAAGGTATGTCCCAGCAGGAGGTAATGAGGCTGCGACCTGGAGGGATGGTATCGTATTGTGGAAGAAGTCCTCCGGGATAGGTCCAGCTGCAATTCCCACACCTTTAACCACTGGAGCTTGCTGTGACACTGAGGCAGGTTGTGCCCATGAATCTGTACCAAATAGATCAGCAGAAGCAGAAGCAGAAACAATTGGAGCAGTCATAGCACCAGCAGTAGCAGGAGTAGGTTGTTGTGGAATCTGACTGAGGTCCTGAGAACTAGCCAATGACCTGGTCTTACTCATCAGTGGGGCCAATCCATCAAGTTTAAATTGCTTTGTTGCTTCTTTAATCTTATTAACATCCACTGTACCTGATGTAACTGGCCTGTCTCGTATTCTAATCTGTAACTTTTTAGTCTTTGACACTCCCTCCTCATCGCTGCTGCTACCATCATCAGCAGTGCCATACATAGTTTTCTTAAATTCTTCAGCTGCTTTTTCCTGTTCATCAGCAGCAGTTTTAGTTAGAGTTTCCAAACCCATCAAGGAATCGCTCTTGGAAACACCATTTGTTGTTACACTTTGAGACTTGTCCTTAGCTTTGAGCAGAGGAGGTATTCCATTTGGTTTATTGTCACCTCCTGCAGATACAAAGGGTTTGACCAAGCTATCTTCTCTTACTTCAACAATATTACCTCTTCCTTTAATTGAGCCAAGGTAAACACCAATATGATCTGTAATAATTGATGGAATGGCACCATCATCAGTCTTCATATATGGCATCACTTCTGCAGCAATCTCCCACTGAGGTATGCTCTTTAAGTTGGTAGGTGTCTTAATTTCCCAGTTTCCACCACCCCATTCAGATCCTTTAGGAACCATACTTTCAGCAGCAAAGTTTGCAAAAATGCCTTGTGTCCATCCACTGGAACGAACTCTTAAAATCCTTTCACAATATCGCCTCAATTCTGAATCAGCACTTTCTTCTTCCAGTCTCTGAGCAAGACGACGCATTGCACTAGGGTTGAGGTGGCATATAAACAGATCAAGTATGCTTTCATAGTCAGCAATAACTTCAAAAGTTTCTTTTGCACTGTCAAACTGACCATACCTGCAATTTCAATTAAATTTTTCATAAAGCAAAGTTTCAACCACAGAAAAGTCAGTGATTAACAAACAATTTATTGATAACCAAATGCATTCCAAAATTCAAATTGTAAATGTTAATGACTCAATAAGATTCAGAAGGTCAGAAGACTACTGTATTTCTAAAGCATACAAGATGAGACGAATAATAATGCTTGAGGTTAATAATGTTAGGCAGATTTGACAATCAGGCACACAACATTTCATATGCCATGAGGATCAAAGACAGAATGAAGGGGTTTTTTTCTTCTTTTTTTTTTTTTTTTTCAGCATAATGATCTGAAAAAAGAAATGAGCAGAAACATTGAATTGATTATTCCATGAAATGTTTGAAAGTGATGTAGGATAAACCACCAAGAAGCAAATGTTTCAGAAACTCCAACTGAGACTCAAATCAATAAACAAGAACATAAATATCTAGCTCGTGAAAGACAGCACAATCTGCATTTTCTAAATTATTTCAAGTTGATATAACTGAACTTATGCTTATTTTGTAAATAAATTTGCAATCTTCTAAGTCAATAAAAATACTATCATTGACAAGAAGTTTAGAAGAACAAAGTTTCAACCCTGAAACCTCTGCTATACAAGACTAAAAGGCTGCCCATAGACAGAAACATTAGTGCAGGAGTAGAAAAGCAATTCCTTACTTGATACAGGCATATCCAAGTTGCCGAAATCGGTGGAACAAATGTGATGTTGGCGGACAATTTGGATAATCTCTAGAACGCAAGAACTCGTCCTTCAAAACAGATAAAGCAGTAGAAAAACGAAGTGCTTTGATCGCATAGACACCACGCAGCACCTAAGTTTTTGGGAAAAGGATAAGTGGATTAATAATCCCATGCAGCATCTAAGTTTGTTTGACAGGAAGTTACAAAATCAAATTAAAAGGGTAAATTTGAAGCATAAATATTCATTCAATCACCTGAGTGAACTGTGGGCCTGCTTGGGACAAAGATACAGCAAGATCTCCACAGACAGGAGGACCTCTAGCTAGAATATCTAGAGATCTTGGAGTGATGCGCAAGCTATCAAACCTTAATCAGATCAGAAGATAAGTCAGAAATCGCAATTACATATAAATCCACTGACATAGCAAAAGCAATGGTGTAAAGTAACATAATCTTCAGTTTCTTCAGTTTTTACACATCAAATAGATCTGAGACTTCAACATAATGAGTCACATTTGAAACAAAACTGTACTGAAGAGAGAAGAAAACCTTGATGTTATTTGGTACAATATTTCGGACAGATCAAGCTTCTGCTCAAAATGTTGTTGCATTGTGGCAAATCCAATAAGAAGAGGTTCAAGAAGCCCAACCAGACAGCTCTTAATCTCAACCCCTTTCTTTTGTCTGGGACTTATATCTGTAGGGTTGGCGAGTAATAATCTATCATTCAAGGCACCAACCAGAGCTGCATACAGAGACATCACGCTATATAACATTTCAACAGAAAATAACAATTGATGAAACGTGATGGCACAATAAAAACTAAGCTGCTTAAGAAATAAAATCTTACATTTAAAACAATTCATGCATTCAGAATAAGAAAAGCTATATACCTGCATATGGCATGTTGATGGATACCATGGATCTAGCTTTGCCATCCCATCCTAGCACACTAATTGCTGTGGCAGTAGAAAAGAGAAGTGCTGGCCCAATCCACAAAAGTGATCTAAAGTGCAAATGTGTTAAGAACTCACTCAAATTTATCATTCTTGACCATACATACAGATACATACACATTGAGGCATGTACCTAAATGATATGCTGCCATATTCTAGATAAAACAGAAAAATTTCTCTCCCACAGTTAATTAAACTGTGCCTGTAATTATATTGACTAGGCTTTTTCTCTTGTTGGTTTTAAAGACAATGAGGCAAAATACAATGATACCTGACAGCAAAAATAGGTGGTAAAAAAATGAGAGAAACAAAGAAGATGTCAAGTTATCTTTCTATCAGCAACCACACCACAAAGGAAATAGGCACAGTTCTAAGAGAGAATCTCTCCCATGGAAATAGGAGGTGAGATCTAAACTTCCAATTACTCATGAACAGACTCACCTTAATATAAGGGAAAAGAATAGTTCTCTGCCCAAACTACTGGGCACGGTAATAGCAATGGCAAAAATAAAACAGAACTGTGCTAAGCCCAAAACAAAATAAAGCACAACCATGCATGCAAACTGACATAAAATTCATGTAAAATATTTATGCCGATATGGCTGTATAAGGATATTGAAGGATGTCCTTTATCAAACTTCGTGGAACTACTTGCTAGAATGTCAAGATCTGCTGAAACTATAAGCACCCTTTGAGTAGTTAATACTCCTGCAACATAGCCTCTCTGCGTTTCTTGCCAGTGCACCTGCAGAATCAAGGATTACCACAATTTACCTTTGAAAAACCCTAGTCCTGGTATAATAAAGGGTTTTTCTACATAAACTGGAAAGAAAAGGGGAATGCACATGAATACATGAAAAACTTGTGCACATAGTCATACATGGACAGACCCTCAATCACCCACGCCCAAACATACAGATTATACAAATATTTCTGCATTCCTTTTTACACAGTTGTCATGTAGTTCCTATTTAGTGAATTCAATTCCAGTCGTTCAGAAGACATCTTTTATTGACAAAAAAGTTTCCAGAACTAATCATCAATACATGTTCCCTCTGCATTGCCCATATAAAGACAGCAAACATTCAAAACTTTATAAAGAAAACGAGGCAAATCATTTAGCATGACAAGAATCATGGTACTTCTTTTCTAAAGCAGGACAATCATTCAGTCTTAGGGTGCATTTGGGATTGCTTTCACAGAGCCTTTTCACACAGCCATCTGTATCAAAAATGTTGATTTGTCATGATTAAATTGATTTTAATTATTGTTTCGTATATTTTAGTAATTATAGAGATGTACAGAACTTTTGAAAATTATCAAAAACTAACATAGTTTTTGGCAATAGCACAACACAGAAACAGCCACAGCACTACAAAGCAATCCCAAACAGACCCTTAGCCTTACAACTAGTTTTATTTACATGTGATGCATGTGCTAAAATTTGATTAAGATTCCATTAAACGAACATAAAGAAAGAAACAGTTCTGATGGAGGAATTAGACAGGTGGAGCTGATAACCAAATTTAAAATAATAGAGGCTTACACAGAATAGAAGTATCAAAGTTCAACATTAAAAAGCTGAACCACTCACCTGGAGCACAATTTCATTTGTTTTTAACTTGATTGACTTTCTCCCTTCAGCTTTTGTTGATATAAAATGCCCATCTGAATGTGAAAGACGGTATCCTTGAACCAACTTTGCCAAGCAAATCTGGCTTCCATTAGAAGCAAACATCAAAGTGGACTCTACAATCAGAAAGATACCAGGTCAGCATCACATTATACTGACGGATGTCCAAGAAAAAAAATCTTAAATCTTCAAGCACCTATAGGAGTGGAAAAGATGCGATCAACTTCAGTTTCAAACATAAATGGCATGGGGCCTTGAACTGAACCAACATTGGTATTGATAGATTGATCAGATAAAAGATTTGGTTCAGCTGCTCCTTTTTTTCCTTCAGTGTCTTGTGAAGCTGCTCCTGGAAGAATATACAGCGCCAGCCCAGTCTTGTCATCGTCAAGAATAACAAACTGATTTTCACTGGGGCCAATAAATGCACCATCACAACCTATTAGCACTCAAAGAAAATATTATAAGAAATCAGCTGACAAAGGTACATTGATGTTAAGAATCTTTGAGATATCAACAAGTAAAAGCAGCAGATGACTTTAGTAGACAGGTGTACCTTTTATTGTGGTTGATTTACTGTTAGGCAACAGTAAGTCAGTATTTTCCTTATAAAGAACTACTTCATTTGTTGTGCCACTAAATTCATAAACAACAAGAAACAGATGCTGCCTTTTACTATAAACTATATGCTTAGGACGATATTCCACATTCCCTGGAATCTGAAAGCAAATATTAATATAAGAATGATAGTGTTATCATACACTAAAAAATAAATATATCATTTTCAGTATTTACCGATGTGTAAAGTTTCTTGTAAATGCTATCTGTTCCAGAACAGAGATTATATGCCATAAGGTTCAAGCCATCTACATAAAAAGCCCTTGCAGGATAATGAAGAACTCGGTTTTCCTTATTGAAGAAATTGAGCTCCAGGTGAAATGGCTGAACATAAAATCAATCACACATTAGATATATGTCGAGCAAAGCAAAACAAATATTGATGCCCCACTCAACAACATGAACAAAGCTACCTGGCAAATGGGAATGTTCTTTAGGCGATCTTTGGCATCTATAACAGTGATGAGAGGCAACCTTGATATTGGAGCACTCTTGGAATGACCTTCCATAAAATGCTACAGAAATCATGAAACTATGAGTTAATTGACTCTACTCAAATGAAGAATCGCTGAATGATGGTGGAATTTTTGTAGAGTTCCTTGATTTTGAGTTATAATTAATAAGATATAAAGATGCATCAAATGAATTAGCTTTTCTGGTCTTAAACAACAAAGATATGTTACAGACAAGCACCGACATTAGATCAACTTCAGCATAGGCTGAACACGTACATGCATCAGCATATAATCAAATGTGGCAACTAACAGAACAGTAGTTCTAAAGATAAATTTAACTGTGCCAGCATTGATGACCATTTCAGATAAAACTTGAAACAACTACACAATTTTATAATCAAAATTGAATATGATTGACATTTTACGTTGTAATTCACAATGAGGTTGAATTTAGAAAAACAGAGATCCATTACCTGGTGGCCTTTTTCTTTTCAAAAATCATTCAGCCAATAAGCACATATCCACCAGTATAATAATTCACCAAGTTCATCAATGCTTATGAAAGTAATTTTATAAGAAATATCTAACAAACAACAGTTTCAAAAGTGTAACATCAGGTTAAGCTTCAAAATTCCACACAAGTAAAATTACAATCTGATCAAAAACATTCTTTCAAGAAAACATAAATTGTAAACAAATAGACAACTCAATCTGATAATAATATAGTTAGAAGAGAAAACATACACTATAAAGGAATGCTTTCCGGGCAATGTCTGAAATATTGAGCTGACTTTGGCTGTCAAAAAGGATATAATTATCAATAATGACATACAATGAAGAAAAACTTCAAAACTCATGCTAAGAGCTAATTATTAAAAAGAAATATCATATTGAGCAAGAACTTCTATATACAATATATGTTGGGAAGGTCATAAAAGCCCAAAAGGAATTAATAGTTTTAATTCCCCACAATAAGTAGCTAGATTCATACATAGATGTTGCCCTCTCAATTCCAACGTGCTTCATAAACAACTGAAGTTTCAAAATATTACTTTCAACTCACCCCTTAAGGTGATGCTCTTGCAGTCGTGATTGGAGCTGATGATCAGCCAAAATCCCAGAAGAACCCATTGATGAAAGCTTCTCCTTTAAAACAGAGGCTGCAAATCGCATCAACTCTCAGCAAATTTAGTCAAAAAACAAAGCATAACAGCACTGCAATCAATAAACATGATGTGACATTTAAAACAGATAAGGAGAAAACATGAAAAGCTTGACAAGGCTTCCTATAATCTGATCAGATGAAAGCACCTAAAAGATGCAGCACAAATAAAATAAAAACTGAAAAATGATTTCAAGAGAAATGCAATACAGCTTCCATGATACCAGCAGCCACTGAAAACATTTAATTTAATCATAATTTTCAAGCTGCATCAGTAAGATAGTTGCATAAGCTTAAAAGAACAGATTCTTCAAACAAAATATACCACGAAGCATACTTTCCATACATGTACCATGAAATAACCAGATTTAACACGCATTAACCTGAAGACCCTCTGGCACTTTGAAGAACTGCAAAGAGCTGTTTCCTGCCTTCCCTAGTGTACGCAGCCCTATTTTTCAAGTTATCGCTCCCTGCCACATTCTAAAATAGAAAACCCAACATTATACTTGTCACATTTAAAAAATATAGAGAGAGAGAGAGATAAATGAAAGGGTAGAGTGCTCTCAACTGCAAACAGCAGAGCTGCTAAATTCAATTTTGGATGAACTTCTAAAGCTCTAATTCGTGGCAAGGGATAAACTGCTTCACCACCCTGCTGAGAAAGAATTCGAGGGATGTCCAGGGATTCAATTGCTGTGATCAGAAAACAAAACGTCAGTTGGCACATAAAAGGCACAAATATGTTTTTCCCAGTTTCTCAAAATGCATTTTTTTCATTTTTGTAGCTTACAAGCAGATTCAAAGAAGTTTGCTTGAATAGGAGGTCTATTAGGATTAACTATCAACCGTGTTTTCCACACATGTAGAGTCCCATCCTTGGAGAGCGTGACAAGTAGACGTAGCATTGAGAGCCAAGCAACTGATGAGATTGGTTGAGAACCCACCTGTGTACTGTAATTACAAAAGACATACACTCACTGAAGATGTAATTATAAAATATTCCAAGGAAATATATTATACAGAAGAAGAGCATCCTTTCCACACATTTGGTATCCTAAAGTCTGGCAATATTCAGCACAGGAATGTCTCTAATTTCTTCCTTCAGTTCAAACAAGCAGAATAGGCATAACAGAAAAGAACAACGAAAAGAAGTGAACCCCTAGAAGAATAAAAAAATGATTTACTAAGTAGCTTACATTCCGATCATGATAGGTCTATCGGTTGATACATCCCATGCAAGAAGTGTACCACGTCTATCACCAATAAAAATCCACTCCAGCGTTGGATGAAATGCAAATGCCCCAGCACCAACAAGCCTAATGGTATTATCAACTGCAAGACAACCCAAGAAAGGAGTACATGTGATCCTCTAGTATGGCTACACTAATACCTAAACAACAAAGTGTATTCTGACTTACGTTGTAGTGTGTAAGTAACAGCATATGTATGAATGTTGTAAGCTCGTATCAAACCTTCTGCATAAGCTACATACTTTTTTTGGGAAGAGGAATTGCAAGAAACAAAAAATAAAAATGATAAGTAGCTCAGAATGAATTTTTAGACACTTTAAGAAGGGTAAGAACTGGTTATTCAGCAGTCAAATTTCCACTGATTAGGGCTGTGAGTGGAATTGATGCTTATACACATACAAACTGTCAAAACCCAAATATAACTCCCATCTGATTATCTAGTTACATTACAGTAATCGAGAAAAGTACCCCATGAACCTGTTTGACAAATTTTCTGTTGATCTGTTTACAACTAAGTTGATTTAGTACAATCTAGTCCATTTGGTGGGGTTATTGCAACACCCTAGAGTGCAACAACCCCTTGGAGGCTTAGACCTAGGAAATTTTGACAGAACAATTAAAAAAAAAAAAATGAAACCACTATATTATCTTCTATTAACATATATGTTTGGATTATTTGGGAATCTGATCCACTGACAACCCTGGTACCAGTGACAACAAAAAAACTGAAGAATAAAACCAACACCAAGCAAAAGGATATGTTACCAGAACAGGAAGCCGAGGATGACAAGCAAGATTCATAATTGGTTTTTTTAAGTCTGTCTTTATCTTTGTTGGTGCCCTCCCACCTTCAACAGTTCCAACAACTACACGCAGAAAAGTTAAAGAATAATAAACAACTCCTGAAACTCATTTGTGCAGGGATATTAGAGAAGAGGGAAACCTACAGTTGAAAAATAAAAGAAGCAAACTGACCAGTCACACTCATTCTTTTGTGAAAACCAAAAAATACAACAGGTTGGAGAGGTGTCAAAGCAAGATGGACTTCTGTATCAGAAGCAATGCGCTCCATCTTCTTTTCGGGTGAATGTAAGACACATGTTTGCTCAGCATCAAAATCACAAGACCGTATTGTACAATCCTAACACGAAAATTTATCAGCATGGTTTAAGTAAAAGAATTCCACATTTGGGAAAATTAAAGAGGGAAAATGCAACAAATCCATAAATTGTAAGGAGCTTGAAAAAATAAAAACTAAAGCAATAATTATTTAATTAGATTGAAAATTCAAAATACTGCTTTACTTTCTCAGTTTATATATGCTTACGTTCAACTATAAACCATCCAACAACATTACTATGAAAGCAGAAGGATCTGAAAGAGTGTATTCAAGAGTAATGAGAAGGATCCATAAATATGAGTCCATAACGACCACACTAGAGTTAGGTTTTTATAATGAACATCTTCAACCATGTATTTCATTAAACCACTGGTAAAAACATGAAAATTGTAAAATGCTCTGGCTATTTATCTGCCTTGGATTTCTTATTGTACTCCAAAAAAAAACTACTATCTATGAACAACAGCATTCCCCACACTGTAAACTAGCAATGAAATCCAAACAACAGTCAGTGCGATAAATAATAAATACAAACGGCAATCAGTGTTTCCGTGATTAATAGTAGTTAACCTCGAAACTCACCTCAAGAATGGCGATCACAGCATGGCCGCACGTTGGACTATAAGACATTCGAACCACAGGGGAGCCAATGTTGATAGTAGACAACTTGCTTCCAGTAAACGCATCAAATTCTGGACGCGGAAAGGCAAAAGAATCAAAACACTTTTACAAACAAGAAAACGCTAAAGCTCATTCGATTCAACGAACCAACTCAATTTCCAACGATCGTCATTACCGATTATGTAGGTTCCGATTGCAACTGCGACAAGCGCCTGTGCAGGATGAAATGCAGCAGCGTGTGGCTGCAACGGTTTGGTGATGTCTCGAGCGACATATCGTAGATCCAGATGCTGCAACGTGCTCCACTCCATGGATCGGATCTCACTCTTTTACCTCACCTGATACGCAGAAATGCTACTAACTTACAGTCTCCAAATCCAAGAGCTGCAGAATGTACAGCCAAACATATACTCAAACATAATTCAGAAGAATGAAGGTCGAGAGGAAATGTGGATCCGATCTGAATTGGAAGTGAATGAAATTTCCTCTGATGTACGCTAGTTACCTTTAATGTACAAGAAAGTTCATCTGTACTTTTCAAAGAGAATGACGAGATCAAAGCCTAGAGACAGAAAACTCTGCTCAGAGGAAGAAGAAAAGAGCATTCGGAAAATCTGGGGCCGCAGCGATCAGGACATTTGATCAGATCTGCTGCAAAAGCCCGCTAGATTTTTACTCGATGCAACGGACCGAAATCCCCGAATTCGGGAGTGGGAAACTAGGGGAATCGCTGTGGTGGTTACGTTGACGAAATGACTAGTTTACCCCTATCAGGCCCATTGTGTGGGTTTTGATATTGATTTGGGCCTTGGGCCTAATGTATTGGATTTCTGGGCCTGCTATTGGTTTATCTGGATATTAACAGTGGTGTAATTCAGGCCCTACCGTCATTAATGGGATATTGATTAGATGGGGCCCAACATGGATTTACCGGCCATTCAATCATCAGCAGATTTGAAATAGGACCAGCATTCTCTGAATGGAAATAAAAGCAGTTTGGTTGAGCTCATTTAAAATTGCAGCAACCTTCATACCTTGACTCCAATACTTTGATGGCCCAAATTAAAAAGCAACAGTTGTCTTTGCTTTGGTTTTTGGAATTGATTTCTCTTTCTTTTTTTTTGGTAAAATTTTTGGAATTGATTTCATAATACTTTACCCTCTTTTTAAAAAAAAAATTGTAAAAAGTCCTTTTTTTTATTCTAGATTATATTAAATTACAAAATAATAATAATAGGATGAAGAATAAAATTCTTAATATTAGTGAGTTCACCCACATCGAACATTTTTTAACTATAAATACTTATGACAATTTTATCGACTTTTAATTTTAATATTTTCTTTTTTAAAAAAATTGCTAGATCTTACAACATTTTTTCACAATTAACCCTAATCAGAGCCTTGGTATATTTTTCTCTAAAGATTATCTGAACGATACGTCGACGATTGGTATCATCTTTCTTAAAGAAGAGTATATATTAATTTGGGGAATATGGTGAAAATGACGGGACGAATATCTATACTTGGTTTATTTTTCATTTAAAGGGAAAATGTAGGTTGCCAGTTGTATGTGTGAAAATGATATTGGCTCATATCTTTTTTTCAGTTAGAGATTTTTTGTAGCTATGTAGCTTGGAGAAAGTTCTATCCACACGAGATTCAGAAAATGGACTGAAGTTGGGAAGGGAAGAGGAATCCAAGCTAAGGCCACTCCCGAGGAATCCAAGCTAATGATGGAAAAATTCATGAATAAAAATCAATATATATAGAGAAAAAGTATCATATATTAAACTATATAATAATTATCATTTAATAATATAAAAAAATGTAATCATATCTAATAATTAATATTTTATAATTTAATATAGATTAAACTATAAAATAAAATTATATATATATACACACCCCACGGACGCATATAGAAACACCAAAAAAACTAATATATTAGATTTACAAGACTATATGTGTTTATGTATTTACCTTAACTATTCTCATCATATTTTTATGATGTAAGTACTTCACGTTCATGTACATCCCTAACAGATTCAACTAATCCGAAGATATGCAATGCCAATAATATGAAAATTTGTATTTTAAAAAGAAAAGGTTCTTTTTGTTTCTCTCTTTTGGAGATGAAAGTATAATTAAGGAATTTAAGCAGGTGAAATCATGGTCATAAGTGAGTTGTGGAGTTGCGGTGGGGCTGTTGGCAGAGGAAAAGAAAATTACAAAAGCCAAGAACGGGAATGTGGCAGAAAAATCTAGAATGAGAGGTTCTTTTCAACCTCAGCCGACCTACGCATGCGTGTGTACTCCCATGGCCCTAAATTAATTGCCCTCAAAAAATGGCAATTACTTTGGAATAGAATTACTTGAGTACAAAAATATCTGTAAACTTATTTTTCATTGTTTAAGAAAAATTGTCAACAGTTTAAGAAATTTAAGGGTAATTTCTTTCTACTAAAAGTGAAAGTAAAATAAATTAGGATTTTTTAAGAGTTATTAAGAATGCAATTATTATTTTTTTATATTAAATAATATTGCAAAATACAAAAACTTACATTAATTTCACCACTATTTTAATGTATATTATTTTAATTAAACAGTTAATTAAATAAATATCAATTTTTATTTTTTTAATATTAATTAATATTAAAAAATAATAATTGTACCTTTAACATATACCATAAAAACACAAGTTAAAAATACCCAATATATTTACTAAGTTAAAAATATTGGTTTAATATTAAAGTTAAGAGTTTGAATTTCTACTGTGTTAAGCAACTAAAATTTCAACATACAAAAAAAATTAATAATAAAATTAAAAAATCACAAGTTCAAATTATACAAAATATGTAGGTAGTTCTTTTTTTCTTTTTTTTAAAGAAAATTATGTTGCATAGTATGAGATAATTTTTTCTCATCATTTTCTCTCATCCTTTTGCTTATGATTATGACTTAAACCCTAAAATTTCTTAGTCCACTTGGATTAGACAATACCATTAGGTTGCTTAATTCATTCCACGACATACAAGGAAGTTAAGTGAAAGGTTTTTTTAATATGTGTTAAGTACATGTTAAGAATATAATAAATATTTTTTAATTAATTTTTGTTGAAAAAATAAAAGTTGACTTTTAATTTATTAACAATCTAATTAAATTCATCCACCAATCAATGATATTAAAATTAATGTTAATTTTTACATTTTTTTATATATATTTATAACAAAAAATATCCTTAACATGTACTCTAAGAGTACAAGTTAAAACTAAGTGAAATATAAGGGAAGGGGGGGGGGAGTTATCTCACATTTCAAAATGGAAAATTATAATAGAAAACTTAAGGGGTTGCAAAAAAATAAGGATATTTTTATAATTAAAATGTTATAAATGATAATGAAAACATTTAAATACTCTTAATAAATCAACACATAACAAAAATTTGCGAGTACGTAAACACATCGTTACTTTCATAAGTAAAGGAGAGTGTTTGTTATAATAATTTAAAATTAGCAATTAATAATTTTTTAATTTGATAAATAAATATATTTAAATTATTAATTGTTAAATTAAAAAAACAATATTAATCAGTAATTTTAAACTGTAATATTATACACCTCCTAAATAGCCTTACATTATGAAGTAATTACAATATTCTTTTTTAAAATATATATGTTTTAAATGAAAAGCAACCATTTCACTCATTATTTACCATACTCACGAAACAACAACTTAAATCTGAAATCTTTCATTGTACTTAGAGACAAGATTACCACTAAATAGCTTATATTGTAGGAAAATATTATCCTCCTTCAGTCCATTCTAGTTGTTCTAATTTTATTTTTGTGTGAAGTTTGATTTAATAAGTTTATATAACAAATAAACGATAATTGAAATTTTTTTTCTTTCAATACACAAGGCTTGTTGAATATTTTCAATTAAATCATATAAAATTTTAATTATTATTTATTTGTTATATGAAATCATAAAATTTTTTTTAGCAACTATAAAATTACCAAGTTAATTAAAATTGAGAGATCAGGACAACTAAATAAGACAAGAGTCACTATTATTCCACATCCCCTTTATGAATGGAATCCAAATGTTTCACGCCAAACAGTCACTAGGCCGAAGGAAAGAACAAAGAATAAATCATATATTTCATAAATTTACCAAGATCAATAAATAAATTACTTCGTGAACACGATAAATTCATAATCATAAAGTTCATAAAAATAAAAAAAGATCATAATCATAAAGTTGTGCTTGGCAATCGATATTAATAGGTTAATTTAATATAGTTAATCGATTAACTTTTGTGAATTATGAAATACTTTTCATATGTCTCTTTTTCTTTTTTTGTTTTTACTTTTTTTTTTTTTTTTGAACATACTTGCAAGGGCCGGGTTTCGAACCCAACCCAGGGAAAATGTACCGGGTGGCTATTGCCACTAGGCCGCAAGGGTCAGGTGTTTTTTTTTGTTTTTACTTATATAATGGTAGACAATTTATTTTTATTTTTTAATTCACTTTACTAGTATATGATATCACTTGAATTTGTAAATTTTTATTTGTATTGAAAATATATTATTATTAAATTACTTTAATACATCTTAATTAAAAAACTTTTGACTTAATTTTATTAGAGAAAATAAGATTTTTCTTTTTCGTTTTCCTCCAATTAAACTGTCTTTAAAATATTAAACTGAAAACTTGGGATAACTAGTCAATAATTTAAATAATTTGGTAATTATTTTTTTATTAAAAATAAAAAATCTTAATTTTAAGTCATATAATATGCAAATAAAATAAAATAAATGATAAGAAATAATTACTTTTTATTATGAAAAAAAAAAAAAACTTGGAAGAACTAAAGTCGGCAACCCATTTCCCACATGCTTTGTGGAGAAGTGTCCAACCGAGCACAATTTAGAATTTGCAGATTTGTTCAATTCTTGTTCACAAAATTAAAAGGCAGTCAAGGTTGACCTGTGCAATCGCAACATGGGCCATGGAACTTTTAGTGAGGAAAGTGCAACTGACATTCGTTGCAGATATTTCCATCTGCCCGAGGCCTTGTAGGACCCCCTCACCCATTTTCTTCAAATTTTCATCACAACTATATGTAATAATTCAATGGTAATTTTTTTTCTTTTGATAAATGATTTGGGCCGGAGACACATGAAAGTTGCGACAATTCTTTTTTTAGTAATAATATAGGGGTAATATTTTTATATAATTTTTATATATTATTAAATAAATACTTATTTAATACTATAAATTTTAAATAAATAAAAAATTAAATATTTAAATAATATATAAAATTATAAAAAATAAAATAAAAAATTATTCCCAAATCATATAGATATATATTTTTTCAGAGGAAAGGCATGGGGTGCTGTTAATGCCACCCCACAATGGTTACATGTGTTTTTTTTTTATCTTAATTTATTTTAATTTAGTTTACATTTTTATTTATATTAAAATTAAATTAAAAGTAAATTAAAATTAAAGTCCAGTTAAGCTCAGAAAATATACGATTAACCATTAAGGGTGGAACCATTAAGGATTCCATGCCATTAATGCCATGGCTCTTCAACTACAACTAGTAGATTGTAGTAATCCCGGACCCGTCTTATTCTCCTGTCCCCCAATTTTGTCTTATTTGAACACATTACTTGTTAAAAGTGTTTTTTTTGGAGCAACATTACTTGTTAAAAGTTGAACATAATAAAAACGTTTAGTGTACCAAAAAATAAAAATAAAAATTTTTAGTTTAAATTTTAAAATAAATAATAGATATTATAGAAAAATTTTATCTAACATATGATTTCTGAGATTATAAATTAAAAATATATTAATGACATTTGTTTTAATTTATATAAAAAATATGAAATTTTATTTTAATACTAACAATAATATATAATTTTAATTATTTAATTGATAAATTTAAAATTATAATTAATATATTTCTAATATACAGCAACAAATAAAACACTCTTTTAGAACGGTTTGTTTCTGTCCAAATTAAAATTATTCACTTTTTGTAGGTTACATGTTTGAATCTTACGAATTTTTTTTTAATTTTTGATTAACTTATAAATAATTGTAATATATTTATAAAAAAAAACACCTTTGAAAAAAACCAATATCACTTACTGTATTAAATAATCAATCATCAATCTTAAAAAAAAAAAAGGGGGAAAAAAAAAAAGAGGACTTATGATGGGCCACTTATTTTCGTAATTATCCTTCCCAACTCAGAGCACCCAAAAACTTCAAAATTGACATTTTGCCGACCAAAAATGTTTTTGTTTTGTTGCTGATGACAGACAGTACCATCATCTTAACGAGCAGGATTGGAGAGATTCATTTCATCATCTGTCATTTTTTTCCGGTTCTTCCTTAAGCCTCAAGGTGAAATGTAATAGTAGAGAGGGGAATTTTTTTTACTCATAAAATATTTTTAAATATTATAATTTAATTTGTTAAAATATCTTTTTAACTTTTTTTTAAAACTAAACATGATGTAAGAAAATATTCAAAAAAATGATATAAAAGATAAATAATAATAATAATAACAATAATAATAATAATAATAATAACAACAAAAGTGGGGATATATATGCAAGATAAGGGGGAGGCCAAGAGAGATTAAGGGCAAAGTGCCCCCTCATTAGGGAGGCAATGACTTGGACAGCTGCTGAAACCGTAGTCCTATCTCCCACCCCATTTGCCTCTCAACAAAATATCACCCTTCTGGACAAGGTAAACAGCGCAAGATTCAAGCAATTCCAATCAATATAAAATTATTCCTATTCCTTATTCCTCGCCGCCCCCTCAAGATTTGGAGAAGATGCGCAGCATGTCGAGCTCCACTGCCACCAAAGGCATTGCTGCCATTGTTGGTGTCGGGCCTAAGCTCGGACGATCCATTGCCCGGAAGTTCGCCCATGAAGGCTATACCGTTGCCATCCTCGCCCGCGACTTAGGTATCCTCCATATTCTGTTCTCTGCAATAGCTAAGTACACTTCTTGGCTAATATAATCTGAGGGTTTGAAACTGTTACAGGGAGACTGTCAAGATTTGCAGACGAGATAGCGAGGGAGGAGAAGGCGCAGGTGTTCGCCATCAGAATAGATTGCTCTGACTCTAGAAGCGTGAGGGAGGCATTCGAGGGAGTTCTCTCCCTGGGATTTGTAGAAGTGCTTGTGTACAATGCGTACCAGCCAGTTTCCTGGCGCCCCACCAACTTCACTGACATTCGGGTCGATTCCTTCGAGAAATCCCTTTCCGTATCCTCCGTCGCCGCCTTCCTCTGCGCTCAACAGGTAATAGAACAGAAACACCAGAACGGAAAACCCATATGAACATGTTTCTTAGTTTCGTTCCCAAATTGGGAATTTTACTTTTGTTGTGATGGAAATGAAAAGGTACTTCCGGGGATGGTCGAAAGAGGAAGGGGAACGATCCTCTTCACCGGCTGCTCGGCTTCTCTCAATGGCATTGCTGGTTTCTCCGAACTATGTAATTTTTTTTTTTTCTCAAAGTTAACCCTTTACTCTCATATTCACATGACTTTGTAAAAGGAAAATGATTTACTTTCCGGGAAAATGGGGGCAGGCTGTGGAAAATTTGCACTGAGGGCATTATCGCAATGCCTGGCGAGAGAGTTCCAGCCTCTTGGCGTTCATGTCGCCCATGTTATCATCGACGGTGTCATTGGCTCACCTAGGTAAAAATTTTACTATGCTTCCCTAATCCTTTTCTCTGATTGATGAGCGTTGAAATTGAATGTAAGCAATTGCAGGGCGCCATCGACGGCAACGCAGAGAGGGGTAGTTCCGCAGCAAGATCAGGGTGGAGGGGACGGTGCAACGATGATGATGGACCCGGACGCTGTGGCTCAAACTTACTGGCACCTGCATGTTCAAGACCGATCAGCTTGGACCCAGGAGATTGACCTCCGTCCTTCCCTCACCAGGTTCTAGCCATATCCATACCTCCACAGTTTACAATGTTTAGCAATAGTGCTTGGGTTTGGGTGCTTGCAGCTGGCTCCAATGTGAAGAACCTTGGAGCTAACACTCCATCAAGAACTATTGCTAAATAAAATTTTCTTTTTCTTCTAAGGAGTCCCAAGTTTTTAGTACTTGTGATTGGAATGTATATATGGCATAATTAATTTATGTCCACAACTTTTTATAATTATTTTTCTAATGCCGTAAATGCTGTACGGATATGTGTATTAGTTTTAGTTTATTATTGGTTTAGTACATATAGTATATCAAATAATATCATGTACCGGCTATAAATATAAAACATGCATATTTAGAGATTGTTTCATTTGCATAGTGATCATTAATTAGAAGAGGATGACCTCATATTTACATATACCTTTTTTCATGATTGTTAAAATTATGCAGTTCAATATAATACTTTTTTAATAATTTAATTTATATAAAATTAAGTTACACATATTGACTTCGGAACGACCAAGTAGCCTGCCATTCCAAGAACGAGACATTAATGATCAATCGAATAGTTAGAAAAAGGTTCTTACTATTTGAAATTCAATTCTATAGTGGAAAAGAAGGCCCAAAGGAGGAAGAATGGGGTCTTTAGGAGGAAAGAATAGGAGAAATATGGGACCTAGAGGCAAATAAATTGCATGGATGATAACGTGACTTCGTGTTCTAATTGAGGACACACAAGTTTTCCAACAACTTTTTGAACCTGAACTTTCCTCAATTCCTAAATCAATAATCATTGCAGGAATATAGAGAGAGAGAGAAAAAAAAAAAAAAAAAGAGAGAGAAGAGAATAAGGTACCTTTCAAGAAAATTAAAAGAGGCGAAAATCTTGGAAAGCCGTCATCTTGAGGCGGG